GTAATGTATTTATCATTTTTGCTATTGGATTTCGGCGTCAAATGCTTGTTAGCTAACAAGTTTATTTGTTTATAATAATATTAGGACAACAATGCGATCAATCGAAAAGTATGTTGCTAATGATTCCTGCTGTTTAGTAAGAATGTTAATGGATTGATCTGATGATTACTTATTTGTTTAGATCCTCAAAACCCAGCTGGATAAATTAGGTTATAATTATTTAGCAGCAGAAAATGGAAAGGAAGCAATTGATTTGGTACGGACGCAGTATGAGAATAGCCAAGCGAGTGGCGTGGATAGTTCTCAGTCGTTAGAGTCCAAACTGGGGATATCGTTAATTTTGATGGAATGTGCAATGGTAAGTTAAGGCATTGATGGTATACGGTTTGATATCAAACGATGATATTCAAGATATACTAATCGTACTCGTTACTATATTCTAATAATTTAGCCTGTCATGTCAGGGTTTGAAGCAACACGAACACAATCAGGTCATTAAGTCCGGAGTTTCAGACGCTTCCAATCATTGCATTAACTACATGGGCAATAGCAGGGACGCGCGAACAATGTCTAGAGGCGGGTATGAATGACTGTCTAAGTAAACCACTCAAGATAAAAAAATTGAAGAAGCTGAATGAGTGGTTGGGTGGTGAGAATTAATTTATTATCAAACAAGCATAATTATGAACTATTGTCTCATGTATTCAGCAACATTATGTACAATAAGATTGGAATTACAAGCTGTATATATACACTAATCATAATTCAGTCTTCTATACTTCAAGTTAACGCGCGCGAATTTATTTCGCATATTGTATTATATTGTAATAACTAGAGATGTATTGGGTGGGCCGCCTGATTTCATCAATCAGCTTTTAGCAATTATGGTGGGGAAATTTGAATGCATTTCACAGCTAACCAGTTTTATTATTTTATTAATTGTAAGATTTAATGTTAATGCTTAGTGAGCATTCATTCATAACTTAAGCTGCTGTATTAAAGTTAGTTAAACTATTGTCCATTGTTATGATTCCCAGGTTGGTTTCGGTCCATGTTGACAGGTATTATGAGTATGAAAGAGAAGAACGTGTGCGCGTTTATATCTTGCTGCGCTCCCTTGCATTATGGGGTATGCTATTTTATATTCATTATATAACATCAAGGTCTGTTATAAAGCATTTGAATGCATACTAATGCCAATAGCTGACAAAACCGGTCCACACATTATATGATATCCAGATTCTGTGATGTTTAACGTTGCATACTTCTTTGACCCGTCCTAGTAGATAGACGACGGGGTTTACAGATTGGTATTTCTTCTTTATCGATAGGTAGATCCCTACACGATGAAATGGCGAGTTCTAATAATCCATTATCTGACATCGTGAACTTCGTGATATCGCATGCGAGGTATAAAGTCTTCTCTTCGTTACGTGCTGCATGCCGTCATCATATTTAAGATTGTGGAAGGTGTGAAATGTGGTGACCATCCCGCTATTATGCAATCAAACACTCCTTCGTATTTAGATGGAGGAGTTCTTGGATTCATGTCTGTTTATCGTCGATGATTCGGCCGAGGATTTTGATGTCTTCTTGTAGTTCGAATTTTTCTGTATCAGCGACATGTTTCTTCGGACCAGAAGAAATATACGAATCTTCAAACAAGACTTCTCTCTGAAGTTTCTCCTTGTTTTGATTATTCCAATGGTCATTTTCGGTAAATCCCCAATGTTTTTTGTGTCTAGCAAATATATGTTGCAATCCCCTAAGTATATAGTTAATCTGATTTATATCAATGTATATAAATACAGGATTGTATACATTGGCATATGAATAAGTTTTATATTCTCCGCAAACTTCATAGGTGTTCAGCCTGATCTGATTTATTCCAGCAACAGTTCCAAACCAATGACTTCCAGAATATACATATCGACCGTCAGGAAGAGTCGAACGGTTGCTATGATTACTTATATAGAACCAATGCCCATCGAGCCATTCTCTATTTGATTTGCTATCGTCTTCATATAATCCAATCCAGTCCCATGTAGATGGCGTAATAATTGACCAAGTAAACTCTAATCTTCCAGAGTTTATTATACAACTTAAGTAACATATTTCTCTTCCTTCGGTTTGCGACATTATGTAGGTTTCTCAGAGTAAAAAAATAAGTTTGGTTGGATCGCGAGTTAGTCAATCAGCAGGTCACACGATTACGCGTACATCATGCATAAAAAGTTCCATAACCTTTTAATTTATTCTGTGATATATGTGATGACACTTATGTGCCTGATCTGAGCATTTGTGTTACGCAATCGATTTTTTAGGCATGTGATTTTCAGAAATTTTAGCAATCAGCAGGTCACACGATTACATCATGCATGAAAAGTTCCATGACCTTCTAATTTATTCCGTGGTATATTATGTGATATGTATTACAAAGTAATGGCACTTACGTGCCTGATCGAATATCTGTATTAAGCAATTGATTTTTTAGGCATGTGATTTTATTTCATGGTCATAGTAATAATCAGGGGTACCCCCAACAATCAGCAGGTCACACGATAGGCTTATATCCTGCATAGTTCCAAATATATGATGTGTATTATCTGTGAAAATCCGATCTGTTAAGTTATCCGATTTTAGGTTTGTGATCACCAGTAATTTATTTTTTGATTAGCACGGAATGTAAAGAACCAATACCACGGATTGTTGATACAAGTGTAAATCCGTAAATTGCTTTCGACATATAATAATGAAACTAGCTCCATTACGATCGCTGACAATTTATTACCTTGAATTAGAATGAAAATTAAAGAACCAACTAGATATGAATTTATGAGGGGGCCTCGCCCCTGTATTGACATTAAATCTTTAGAATAAAGTTGCTGAGAAGAACCGATGATGTATGTAATAGTGGTTATTTTATACAAATTAAAAAATTTATATGTATTTATTGCTTACGATAATGATGATATTGATGAAAAAACCTTTTACGATTTCTGATATTCGTATTAACATCGCATCGCCTGTTTATCAGTTTAACGTGCCGTGTAGAGATATGATTTTTGCAAATTTAAAATTCTTTAATTTTGAATATTCTTAAATTGAAGAAAGCCCAAGAGAAAACTTTCTCATACGAAGTTAAAAATAAATTTAAATCTAAACCGTTTTTCATTTTAGATAACATTGAATGAACCACTGATTAAATTTAGGTCCGATTTTACAGACAGAAAAAATGAAACTCGACACTCGATAAGTCGGACGAGATATATATACTCTCGTTAAGCTGCAAGTCAAACAACCTCTCCAGACAGATACTAGGAAATGACTCTCGGTAAGTCGGGTTCACGTGATTGCATAAAGATCATTTTTGCTATTTTAGTATTGTCCAATAACATTTGTCATCTTCATTAGCCAAACATGTTACTTACGATTTATGATTTATTGGCATTCTTCTAATTTAAAGAAAATGTTTATACCTCGTTATGTCATTGAAGATTTTGCTATTTCATTTGACGATTTAGAAAGACGTTCTTGTAATTTAAACACGTCTTTATATCATTGATGATTGTTTTATTTGATGATTTAGAAAAAGACATTCTTGTAATGTATTAATACGTCATAGGATATTCATTAATGATATCATTCTACGATTATTTGCATTTCGAAACAACGTGTTTATTTATTTCAGAAAATGTATTAAAAAGGCTAATGTCCCAACCTTCAGTATTTTTGAACAGTGATTGATACATGAGCGATCTTTGGGCGGTCAAGGTCGGTTTTGGGTTATTTGATTTGTTGATGTAGTTTGAGAATTATTGAAGGCTAAAAAATTAAAATTATGCAGCTCAATATAGAGCTTATTGTCAATTCGCCTACTATAGACACCTTTGAGCCTATTTTGCTTTTTGGTTCTGTCATGGAGATTTTTCTTACTAGTATTGTGACAAACTGTTATCTCAAATTCTGCTAGACGGATTTCAGTGTCAGTACTAGTACTGGAGATATATTGTGTGGTTTGGACAGAGAATATTGTTGTATTATTACAAGTTTGTGTTGGAGCTTGATCGTTCGTATCGACAAGCATTTTGTTTCGATAACTTTCATCATTCCGCATGATTTCTCCTTGTACTTGCTGCACCTGCTTCAAATGGTTCTCATATATTATGCTATATTACTGTAAGATATTTAGACCGACACCCAAATCCTATTGGGCAGTAATGACCCCTGCCAACCAATGAGATAGTATAGATAATGCTAATGTTGCCGAAACGTATGCTCGTTTTTTTTTCAGCAGGATCGTT